CTGAAAATTACTTTAAACCCTAAAACATTATCTGAAAGCCAAGACCCTATAGAATAAAATGGCGGCAGTTGCAAATTCTTATGTTGCACGATATTAGCGCAACTTACTCTCAAACCCCCACATTTTGTGAAAAATACACTTAGGTTACATTTAGTGCCCCAAAACACAAAAAAATACCCACTTTTTTGGTACAATAAAAAATATGAGGTTACAATGAGTAAATAGATACCCAACATGCCCAGGTAAAAAATTGTGTGCGTCCGTGAAACAGCGACAAAATTCAGTACCCCAAAAAGTCCATAGACGACGCTTTAAAAGCCCCCACAGGTCATCAGTTTAGAGATCCGCATAAATATTGACCGAAGAATTGTTGCTCTCACTCCAGCGTGCGCGGCGACCATCGTTTTCATACGATGATCGCGTTAGATGTCTCACACCCCCCCGCCCCACCTCTATTCAAGCTTGGCTTCTCCATTTTTACATAAATGGCCTCTTTTCTCTACAGGAGGTTAAACTGGTTTAAAAGAGGTGTGAAAGAGGCCATTTATGTAAAAATGGAGAAGCCAAGCTTGAATAGAGGTAACATTAATAACACCTCCTAGCTCCAATTAAGCAAATGTGATTAACAGATTATGTGGATTGGAGCAACATTCACCAATTTTTGTAGAAGTCATTCTGAATTGAGAAAGCTGGTTGGATGACCAGTGAAACGTCTTCAAGAAAAATACAGCAAGTCCAGTTGTCTTGACTTATTTTTTTACAGATATACCATGACCTGGATGAATGAGAACCTTCATAGACAGTGTAGCAGGATGCCAAAATACATGGCGCAGTATTTAAAAATTCTTACAACAGCTCTGACTGAGGGTTTATATACACTTTAAGATATCAAGCTGGCCATATACCAGCAGAATTTTGCTAGAAACTCAAACGTTCCAAAAATTCTTCATCAAAAATGGGGTTAAGTCGATGATGGGAGTTGCATAGAGACCTGCACCCATGAAGAGTTACTCTTTCACTAACAGCATTGGAATAGGCATAGGGCACCCTCTACAGGCAGCAGCATATAACTGCATCTCTGCTATCCGGGAGCCCAGGACCATTAGCACAGCCTGGCTATAGATGGTGACGTGCCTGCCAGCTTCCAGAAAAGTAAAGCTTTGTCACATTCACGGCAGTGCTTTATAAATAATGGATAATAAAGCCGATTCCCCTAATTAAGGATTGCAGCTGATGCCCTTGTTAGAGGGAAAAACAAGAATTGCAGCGGGGAAGAAACAGGACTATATTGTTCTTTCCGTCACTCACTGCCCTTTTATTTAATATTTAAGAGAAACAGGAAAAGCAGCTTGCAAGAAATGAGCTTTGCTTTGTAGCGGGGACTTGTGTGCTACATTGAGATTCATGTCAGCTGTTTGCTAACTACGCACAGCCTCACGGCTCAGTTTCCATCAGGCCAAAGCACAGGCTTTCATATCAAGCTCTATAAAGTTCCATGTGGTGCGTGCTGTGTCATTTTACACTTGGCAACCTTCTACAGGGTTCTGTTCAAATAGACATCCTGGCAAGTCGTGCTCGTGAACAAACATGGGGGGCCCACCAGCTGTCATCCCCACCAAAGCACCACCAGTGATGGCAGGCTCCGGAGCAACCCTGAGGGCTTCAGCACCACTTGTGTATAGCAGCCTCTCTCATCCTGCTTCAGTCCGCTGAGTTTTGCAATAAAACAGACTGTAGGGATCAAATATAAATATTAAGAAAATAAATTTGTATTTGTTTTGCTTCATGTTAAGAGTCGCTCTACGCACCAGAAGTTGGAGCAGTACAAATACTGAAAGTAAATCTGAAAGTAAAAAACTTTAGGGAAAGCTGTATGAAGAGCTGAAATACATATACACTATATTGCCAAAAGTATTAGGACACCCATCCAAATAATTGGATTCAGGTGTTCCAATCACCTCCATGGCCACAGGTGTATAAAATCACGCACCTCGGCATGCAGACGCTTCTACAAACATTTGTGAAAGAATGGGTCGCTCTCAGGAGCTCAGTGACTACAAGCGTGGTATTGTGATTGATTGCCGCCTGTGCAATAAGTCCATCCGTGACATTTCCTTGTTACTAAATATTGCGCGGTCTCCTGTTAGTGGTATTATAACAAAGTGGAAGCAACTTGGAACAACAGCAACTCAGCCACGAAGTTGTAGGCCACGTAAAAAGACAGAGCGGGGTCAGCGCATGCTGCAGCGCACAGTGTGCAGAAGTCGCCAACTGTCTGCAGAGACAATAGTTACAGACCTCCGAACTTTGTCTTCAGATTGGCGCAACAACAGTGCGTAGAGCGCTCCATGGAATGGGTTTCCATGGCTGAGCAGCTGCATCCAAGCCTTCACATCACCAAGTGCAATGCAAAGCGTCGGATGCCGTGGTGTAAAGCACGCCGCCACTGGACTCTAGAGAAGTGGAGACATGTTCTCTGGAGTGATGAATCACGCTTCTCTGTCTGGCAATCCGATGGACGTGTCTGGGTTTGGCGGCTGCCAGGAGAACGG